GGGGAAGCTGAATTTAAATTTGCGGGGTCACACGTGGGTGGGGAACGTTCCCCCAAATTTTCAGCTCCCTAGCTTCTGTGGTTCCCGAGTTGAAAGTTGCGGACACACACACACACAAACACAGACAGACAACCCCGTGACAATATGCGTTTTGTACTGCTGTTACACAGCACAAAACGCATAAAAACGATACCGCAAAGGTGTTTGAAACTGCCAAACTTTCCGGTCCAAGCACTTCGCCATTGCCAGAGTTGCATTCGCTGCCTGCGCCCATCCACGTCTCAGCGTAACTTCAAACATTGCTCTACAAAGTCGGCTGCTGTTCTGCTGAATAAACATCGATTCCGAAAGAAGTGAATAACTTCTGATAAATGCACGCGATATGTATGCCTGCAAAAACAACATTAGGCCTAAAATGACCGATAAATGCGCATAACAACTAAATCTATGCATGCTAGGCGCAAAAAAAACTTTCCTCATAATTTTAAAAGCTACGCCTCTCCACTCATATTTGAAAAACTGATATTACAAGCTTACTTCCTCCGAAAGGTTGGAGGCACTCGGAAGTAGCCCGAGTTGTGGAACACGTCAGTGGGAACCCATCCGTACTGCATATGGTTTTCTCTTCCAAGAGTTACTGGGGAAGCAGACTGGTGGTGATTTTGACTTCTAGCAGCAAAACAAAGGACCGAAGACAGACCAGTTTTCCACTTCAAAACTTCTAACTTTAGCCAACAGAGGAATGCATTTCGAAATAAAACTTCTGTTTGCGTGCAACTATCTATTTACGACTTTTTTTTTGTATATTTTGCTTTTTGCTCGACTACTGCCCAAAATGAAGAAAACAAACCAAAATTAGATCAAATTAAAACGACTTTTCCGAAAATGAGGCAATCTCAAGGAGCAACACAACACAATATCCACATGTGCGTACAGACACACACATACATCCTACCTGCATTAGACAGTTTATTTTTCCCGGCACCGTCGAGAGTGCACCCATTTTCAAGCGTAGTGGACAAGAAGTCGCGGCAAGCTGCTCCAGTTCTTCTGTCTCTTCTTCTCGCACCTTCAACAAGGCAGCATGAGAAAATGTTAAACAAGAAACTTGGAAAGAATAAAAGTTTTTATAAAAAAGCACTGTACAAGAAAATGTTAATTAAAAGACTTGAAAAGAATAACTTGAACGAATTTCCGGAATTTTTACAAGAATCACCTTTATCTGATTGAATTCTTTTGCTGATGCAATTAGTGACAGTATCATATCATCAGTCATAAATTCTTCCAGCTTCTGTCCTTGAAGGCCATTCATAAATACATCAACCGTTTCATATTTCACATAAAAATTCGAAGCAATCCGGCCCAGATCTGTCGACGACATGTACCCGTTTCTAAAAAAACCACATTTTGTAGAATCCACTATCACTGTTATACTGAAACGCTATTCTCTCTGGTCCCTATTAGCAATATCAGAACCATCTCTTAAAACCTTTAACAACAGTTTTTTCGCTATCATTCTGCGCTATCAACTTTATTATCGCTTTTTACGGAAAGCAGTAAATTAAATCAAAAGTTGGAACAAAATAATGCGCAAAAAGGCCTGGGATTCCTAAAAAGGAATGTCTGTACAAGCAAAGATTGCCAAGAGAGTTAAGACCCTCCAAACAACGGATACGATGATTTTGTGTTGGTGTTTTTACTGAGACCTATAGCAAGCTTTTTAATCATGAGGCCACAACGATATCCTACACGACTGACGCAGAACCCCACTGCAAATATTGTCACAAAGACACACTTCAAGCATCCTTCGTGCTATCCGTTAAAGCTAATGTTGGTATGCTTGACCATATTTCACATTCGTACATCTCTGCCTTTCACTGAGCATGAAGAGGTGGGCACGGTTCTTCCAGTTCAGTACAGAAGACGTTGATAATGCTATAAGATCTGCGTTATAAGATAGCACTTCAGTGTGCGGCAACTGGGAATTGTGGCGCGTATTTACTTGCATAACGAGAGAAACACAGCTGTCTTCTCTCAAATCAAACCCATCCATCTGCAATCTTGGCGCAGGCATACCGACGCAAAGAAAAATTAACTCATAAAAAAACCAAATAAGTTAAGACAAAAGACATACAAGCTATCAAAACGAATCATTTGACTTAAATCCAATTTCGTGGCAGCTCCAGTGACCAACTTCGCCAAATATTCGTCCAAATTCGGATCGTCTGCTAAATCTTTCCTCGAAATGCCATAAGACAGTGGGTTGAGCTTGGCACGAATGTAAAAATATGTGTATTTCAGCCATTCAACTGCTTCAGCAATACTTGATACAGATCCTCAAAAATAGGTAAAAAAAGATAGCGCAGGGTTTGATTGGAGAAATAATGCGTTAGTGAAGTTCATATTTATCTTAACACTTATACATTCGGATCTTTAAAAAGATCATAAAAACTCATAAAGTATACCTAGAGCAATCTCGGCATTCAAGTTATCGTAAATTCGCGATACAAATTGACTTTCGATGGGGGTCTGCCGGAAAAGCATGTCCAAATACTTTGGAATACTCTTTTTCCACGTGATTATTATGCCGTGTCCTGCAATGTGCGCTTTATTTAAAAATAAATAGCAACGCGTACCAGATCAGCCAGTGCTATCATGCGTTTTGTGCAATTCCG